TATACTCGACATAGTGGATAGATGGAACTTTGTGCTGTCCTATTTCGATATTTTAATGAGCCAAACAGATTGGATTTTAAAGGGTTACAGAAACCCACTCGACAATCATGAATCACCAGAAATGTAGCAGTACGGTTCAGAAACTCCCTCTATACAGGGTGTTACAGAAGTATGGGATCAAACTTGTAGGGGTTATTCAGTGTAACAGTAGAAAACATTTGAGTATAGGGACCCATATCCGGAAAAATGTCACTACGGCCCTAAGACGCGTTAAAATTCAGAAAGACGATGAATTGCCTGAATAGGATTTAATGCATCTAATTTTTGCCTTTTGTACATGATATCATCACAAGAATTGTTCAAAATGTCTTCCTCCAACCTGAATACACCGATTCAAACGTCGCACATGATTTCGGCGTACTTATCTAAAAATTTGATACTCGTTTTGAATGATTTCAAATGGTGCTGTTATTCGTCCAATTAAGTCTTGCTCTGTTTCTAATGGAGTTTCGTAAACCAAAGACTTTACATGTCCCTACAGGAACGGTGTATTCAGGTTGGAGGAAGACATTTTGAACAGTTGTTGTGATGATATCATGTACAAAAGGCAAAAATTAAATGCATTAAGTGCTATTTAGGCAATTCATCGTCTTTCTACATTTTAAAGCATTTTAGGGCCGCAGTGACACTTTTCCGGATATGGGTCCCTCGACTCAAATGTTTTCTACTGTTACACTGAATAACCCCTACAAGTGTGATCCCATAGTTCTGAAACACCTTGTATGTATATACTGTATACTGATCATAGGTTGGACGGGAGTGCGGTAAATGTCTGCTTCCTCTAACCTCCAGTGCTGTTCTGGAGAGAACAAAAACTCTGCCCAACCCTGCCAGTCATAAAAAATGTTCGTCCTTGTTGTATCTCCCTTCCCCCTCCAAAACTCAAGACCAATAAAGTTTTTGTGACCTTTCTTTTGCAATAAAAAGTCAAAGCTTTTGTGGATGAGACATGGCAACTCAGCGTGCACAAAACGGCAGCACCGCCGTCTTTGTAATGCCGGTTCGCCGGTTGACGTTGGTCTTTATTTTGTCGGTTTTCAGATGTTTCCCCGCCAGCTGCGTTTTTTGCCACCAGTAACGGACTGGGTGGATTGCCGACGGGCGAAGGCGGTGTCTTCCATCTTCTTCTATTGTCATATTCCTTTCTCCTTCTCGCCAGTCACGACGACATCGGCTGCCGCCAGATATTTATCAGGAGAAATGAGAGAAAACGCGGCGGCTGTGCCTGACTACTTCGTACATGTTAAGAAAATACCGAATGGAGTTCAAGGCCTCTGTGACGACATGCCGCCGTTGTGACGTTGTATTTTAGCGCTTGTTTATTCTGTTTGGACGTCGTGGCGCACGATTAATTGCACCTTACATCGCAAGGTTACAAGGCATACCGGAAGGTGTAGTTGCTCTATTCGAATTTCAGGTGTACGGCAAAAATTAATGTCATGGGCCATGAATACCATAGATACAGCTCAAGCATCATAGGCTTTATAAACCAGTGTGATTGGCATCACTGGCTCGGTACTACCCGTTCAGCGGTGTGTTTTGGTAAAGTGGAGGGTGGAGTTGAAGTCTTCCGTTAACAGGTTCGCCGCTATATGGGCAGTAGACAACTAGTGTTGACTTACATTTACACTTCGTACGATGATGTTTGAGTTGGCGACGTATTTCAATTACAGGCGTGGAAAGATATTTGTCAAACATTCCTAATCAGCTCTGATTGTCAATCTTTCACCTTGTGGCGGACCTGGTAGCAAGTATACGAAACAGAAAGTGGTCCACATGTTGATACTTCATCAAATGAACAGAAAGGTGTAGCGGTATATTCGCTGATTCTGGTGGTTTGATCAATACTTTACCAAATTAGGGAGCAAAGATTAGGAATTCAGCACTAAATGTGATAAAAGCTAAAAACATCAAAGTATAACTGATGCCTGAATGTCGCATTGATTATATTTTTAAGCAATGAGCGAAAATAATAATTTACCTGATCCTGGAAACTTTTCATTTATCAGTGCAATTCATCAATCTCCATCGCAATATCAATATTGTTGAATACTTTTGTATATTAACGATTCTCTACAAATGTTCCTATACCTTAGACTTCATTGAACTCGGCGCCTCACAAAACCTACCCCTTATTTCTAGGGAATATGAGAATGGTAATACCGGATAACGAAAAACTTAAATTATGATGACCCTACCTGCTTTTCGTTTACCTGCTTCGTAATGATGGAATGACGATTCTGGGCAGCGTTGCCAATGCCATTTGCGTGTCTTTGATTTACCATTTGCAATGTCAGATATACCTATTACTACCTACTGCCTATATTCACATTTCTTATATTACTAAAACAGATTCCTGGTTATATAAATTTGATTATTTTAGACATTTTCTGACAAAAAAAAAACGGTTCACTGTTATTATACATTAGCAGAGTGTCATCTAACATACTGAAATAGTTGAAAAAGTACAAAAAATGAATTTAAAAACTATTTACAATAAACCCCGATCTTTTGTGCTCTGAAATAGAAATTCTCAATATTTAAAAATTGTATCTCAGAAGTATCATCAAAATAAAAATAACATATTTATCATAAAAAAATTATATCAGTGCATACATACTATGAACGGAAATCACGAAATAAATTTAATTACACTTAAAAGGGATATTATGTTAAAATGTTTCATTAATCAAGCTCCATTAATATATAGCAAACTTCCGAACGTTGGTTACACAAAATGACTAATAATGAAGTCATAAAATATACAAATTCATTTTAAAAGCAAAAAAATATAACCAAATTAAACAAAATACCATCATTATAAGCATCACCTACATTGTACCTTTTACACTACAAATTACGTATTGCAATTAAAAAATTATGTATTAATAAAAGGATATCTTTTTTTTGTGGATGGTCTGTTAACCTACGCATCTCGCGGCGCCTGATTTGGATACTGACGCGGTCGTACCACAAAACATCATACCTAGTGATCAGGGTCGGGCTTGGCCCCCTTTGAGTTTTTCGAAAATCAATATCTCAGTTATTTTAAGACTATGATGTATGTGTTACTAGGACAACTTGCTTATTATTGCCTGACCTATACACCATATAAAGGAAACTTTGAGGACACCATGTAAAATAGCAATACGACATAAAACTCCATCTTGCGCATAACTGAACATGATCTGCCAAATAATATAATGGAAACCCTAAGTGGAATAAAAAATGGTTTTACTTATTGGGCATGTTAAAAGTTTTTCACAAAAAACCTATCTAAAGCCTTTATAGCAAAACACATATTTACTAAATTTGAAGTTGCGTATGTAAGTATTGGCTATATCTATACTAAATTATTGTAATATCGTATACTACACATATTTAAACAATTTTACCAGAAGCGTTATTCAAGTTATTCAAAACAATTGTATACGTTTCATCTTTGGTTTACGAAAATTTGATTATGTATCAGCAAAATATCCCGTTCTAAAAATAAATGACTTGGTCAAGTACCACTATTCAGCTTTTGTTTACAAATTACTACTCAGGTCAAAATCTTCTTACGTAAGTGAACACTTTTCATTAGTAGAAGAACTCTCAGAGAAAATAATATTAGAATTCCCCCGGTTGTTATTATTTTTAATGATCGTCCTAAACTATATAAAGAATTTTCGTTACCTATCTTTCGACTAAAAGTCAAAACAATATTACTTAACCCCCAAACATATAATTTATATACTCAAGGATTTATTTTTTCAACCCTTGTTTTGTTCTGGTTGATAATTTTTGGTGTACTTGGGTTTGGAAAGTATGCTTTTGCCTTTACATTTTTTACTTTCGATGTAACTAACTACATCTGTTTGTGAACAGTGTATTGTTGTGAACATCTACTAGCAACTATATGGTTAAGCGTAAAAGAAGCAGCATACCAAGCTTGGCTATAGTACATTATTATTGTAGATAACTATCTAGACGTCTATTATTATTATCATCATTAATAAATCAGCCAAGAGTTGTCCGTCGCCGCTTGTAAGAGCTGTAAGCAATATTCAAATTTTGCGCTATTCAAAAAACGTGTTTGACATAGACCAACACCCCTTGCAAGGTACTCTAAACCTTTCCTTTTAAATTGCATTGGCCTATATACGAAAATCTCATGTGGCTTATTCGAGCAATTGCCATTTGGGTATCGAAATGTGAATAGTGTTTATCCGGTGAACTTTGATTCTTCAGAGGCCCGATTTTTAGGAACAGTACTGAGATAGCACCATAGCAAGTAAGTAAAATTTATGTTAATCGATTTTTTTGGTATTTACGATTACTCTCATTTATGTAGTTCCTTTATGCCCGAATCTACGCCTAGACTCCATATTATGACTTTGATGAGAGAATGAGATCGTTTTCCTGTTAAATACTTTATTTTTTTTATACCAAAGCACCTGCTTAGGCTGAAGTCTAAGTATCAGGACATCGCGGTTGCTATGAGGAGCTTAAATGAACTTTGTTTATCCGATTTTTGAACTGCCTAGTGGGAAAATCCTCCTCAGGTTCCACAAAGGAACGGCTGAATCGGGCCAGTTTTGGTTGTACGGAGTGAGGCACGATTAGGGTAGGAGGCCAAAGTTAGGCGGGTCTGTCTGGCAGGCACATAGCATAGCGCGGCAGAATCACGAAGGAGAGTTCGAGGAGCAAAGCCCCTTGACATAGCAGTATAAGTGCTAGGACGCTTCTTGTTACTCAAGCTACAGTACTGTGTTTTCGAAGTATTAAACTGTACAAGATTGTTGCGTCCCAAGCAGTGATAACCTCCAGGTCTGTCGTTAAAAAGGAAGTCTCTGCTAGTCTTATTTTCTCCATCCAAAAGGAATAACCTTATCGACCCATAAAAAACTAGCTCTTGCAAAGCTGATAATTGGCAACGTCGCCGCGTCGCCGGTACGATGGCGTCACGCACGGCGTGGCAGCGTGGCGTGGAGCGCGGATGGCGGCAGTGCGGCATCGTGGTAGTCGGGCAAGTCTGGCAAGCGATGGTTTGTCCGAAATGGCTGCCGCTGTGGCGTGGCGTTATACCGCCCTGCCGCTGTGCGGAGCCAGTTGTCCGAGACCTGTTGCAGCGGCAACGCGTCAAGAAGACATCCCTGCGCGGTGATCGCTGCTGCTGCACGACGCGACGCGACGACGCCGCAGCCGCACCGCGCGATCCACCGGCGAGGTGGTACCTACCACCGCTCCGCTCGCGAGACGCGACATCAGACACGCACCAGTTCAGGTAGTACTTGCATTTTACATTACATTCAAACTTAATACCGATAGCACGTGTTGCTAGCACTATTTTTATTGTACTATAGGAGTTCCAAACACCCCCTAGTCTTTTCATGCTATGATTCATATACCTGTTTCACAGAATAGCCAGTTTGAGCAATGTTTTTACCGATAGGAAACAGAAAGTGGGTTTCCCGACTTTCAAAACGTGCTAGTGATGCTAAATATTATAAGCACTGTTGCCAAATTGTTCTTATTTACGGCTTTTTGCGGACAAGTACCAACAGGTAGTACCGCTACCATCTAGTATTGGTTGTAAAAGAACATCTAAATATTCTTTCTTTCTAAATGTGGTACCTATTCTAGATATTTAGGCCAAATGAAATGGGATACCTACGTGATAATAATTGGCTGCGACATTGTGAATAGTGCTATTAACTGAGTTTTGATTTTTCTGAAGTTCGGTACGAGTATCGGTGTAAAAACAGCTCACAGCCAAATTCAATTTGGTTTCCAAAGCTAAAATGCATTAAAGTAGAAATATAGTATTTACAGTCGATATTTTGTGAAAGCGAAAAAGTGAAGAGTAGCCTAGCATTTTAAGAATTTATTTCTCTCTTTTTGAAAACAAAATGCAAATCCCCAAAAATCTGGAATCATCCGATTCATTCGTCAATTATTCTGATTAATCAATCTAATATAACAATATCACCGGTAGATTTATAGGTTACTAAAATATATCATATATCACAAAAAATATTCGTTTGTATCGCATTTGCCCAAAACAAAATCATCAAGGGGCACTAGTCTTTCTATTTATATTTTCGCAGCAGTTCAGGTGTTCATGCAGTACTGCATTTGAGCATTGGATTCACAGTTAGCATAGCCATTCTACATTAGATTCAAGCTTAACACCCACGATACACATACACTGAAGATAAGATGTTGCGCATGTGGGCGGAGCTTCGTGACGTCACCTTGAGAGTTGTCGGCTCGTGGTTACCAGCGGCAGAATTGTCGTTACGTTACTGCAGTGCACGTTTATTGTGGTTAATACTATATAGTGCAATTTGTTGGGGGTTTTCTGACTTGTTGTATTAGTTATACATACTTTATATACCTGTGTGGTTGATAAATTGATAAAAATGCGGCGTGCTGTTGGAATTACATCCGACAACAGCACGCTAAACGGAATCCTTGCAAAGATATGAAGTTCCACTGTCTTCCCCAAGACCCAAACCAAAGCAAAAAATGGTTACATCTTACAAAAATTCAATGTAAAAAGTGCTAGGGTTTGCTCGAAGCACTTTTGTGAAAGTACCTATAAGGTCAGTTTGAAACATACCCTTTTTCGGAGTCATTAGGACAAAGGGTGGTCTTTAAGGTAATATATTTTGGGGCGAAACGAATGCGCATACTCAGAGTATTGCATCATTAACGAATAAACTGAATGCACCTGAAGTATCAGCTGAGATATAATGAGGAAGTTTAAGCTATAGCCTAAGAAATAGGAATTACAAGGTTGAAATCTTCTAATCAAATCCGCCATTTTGTTTTATATAACATTTTTTAGTGTAGACTGTGTCACTCGCATCGTTAAGACTAATCCAATCACACGTCATATGTGAAAATCCGTGCAGCCGTTTGTCCTGTAGGTGAAAATATGCACGTTGTTCAAATCAACCCAAATGCGAATCACTCTCAGCGTGACGTCATGCGCTCCGGCGGACAAAAATCGAACAGCTGACCATCCGGCACTGCTTAACACCGATAGGACGTGTTACTAGTACCATTTTGAATGTATAGTAGTTCCAAACACCTCCTAGTCTTTTCATGCTATGATTCATATACTTGTTTGACAGAAAAGGAACTTTGAGCTATTTTTTTAACAAAACAAAACAGAAAGTGGGTTTATGACTTTGAAAACGTGCTAGTGGTGCTGAAGATTATAAGCTATTGCCAAATTGTTCTTGTTTACTGCTTTTTGCGGGCATAGCATTTACAACGGGTAGTACCGCTACCAGAGTGTCTAGTATTGGTTGTAACAGAACATTTAAATTCTTTCTTATTCTTGATATTTAGGCAGAATGAAATGAGATACCTACTTGATAATAATTGGCTGCGACATTGTGGATAGTACTATTAACTCAATCTTGATTTTTCTGGAGTTTGGTATCAGTTTAGGAAATGCACTGCTTTAAAAATAGCGTATAGAAGGGCTCACTACAAAATTCAATTCAGTTTCCAAAGCTAAAATGCAACATGAAAACAAGTAGAAATATAGGATTTACAGAATTACGTTGTGCTAGTTAATATTTTGTGAAAGCAACCGAGAAAGTGAAACAGCAGCCTAGCATTTTAAGCATTTACTTTTTTATCTTTTTATCAATACTTTTTGACAACAACGAAAAATATAAATCCACAGAACTGTGGGCTCATCCGATTTATTCATCAATTATTTAGATTACCAGTCCAATATAACAGCACCGGTAAATTTATAGGTCACAAAAAATAATTCGGTTGTATTGCATTTGTCGAAAATAAAATCAAGGGAGTCACTAAGCTTTTTATTCATATTTTCGAACCAGTTGCATTTAGCATTCGATTCACAGTTAGCGTCGCACATACCACTAATGCCACGAGTTTCTAGTAGTATTTTGAATGTATAGTACTTCCAAATAGTGCTTTATACTTCGGGGTTCATATTTTATAAAAAAGGCAGTTTAAATAGTCTCCATCAGAATTTATCAGAAAGAGGACACCCGGCTTCAACATTCAACAACGTGCTAGTGCTAGAAAGAATGACCAGTGCTGTCAAACTGATCTGGTTTCCTCTGACACAGTACACTAGTTCAGGTAGTACCTCTACCACAGTATTATCTCTTCTGTGATAGTATCTGTAGACCGTTAGCTCCCGCACCCTGTCGGTAACGGTTCTGTTTAAAAGCTGAAATTATTTATAGATGATTCATAGCATGTAAGCTATGGAAAAGCGTACCTGGCAGATCGCAGCAGTTGCGTTCATTGTTTTTTATATTTTTTAAACGGCGAAAATGTAATGTAGAAGTACCTGCCAGGTGAATCAAAGGTGTGCGGTGTACGAGTTGAAACAAACTTTGTGTTTAAAAGATTTTTACGGATGTATAAGCAACTAATTTGAGTACGATTATGATGCCGCTAAGTACCTGCCAGGTCAAGTTTGGAGAACGTATTTCTTTTACACGGCACATGGGTTCGATTGGTTCGTTGCCAGAAAGTAGGTATACTTTATCTGAAGTCACTTGAAATAGCATAAAAACCTTTGGTCGGCGCGTCCTTTGTAATTTCATGACGTATCATAGGCGTGCGGCAATTTATTTAGAACGATAATAATAATGTTTTTATATCACAATAAATGGATTTTACTATCTTTTTATTTTTTGATTTGGGATAAAAAATACTTATATTGGGAGTTTAATTTATGTTGACTGAAAGTTAAGAAATGGAAAAATTACAGAATTCCAACGTTTGACAGAGGCAAATATTTACATAGCAGGTAGGTATATAAAAAGGTATATAAAGACTTACATTATAGGTATTTATACATCATCCTCGCCTTCGGAGCTGTCGCTAGAGTCATCTTGTAGAGGAATTACAACGGGATTTACAGGAGGCAAAACACAATATTCATTTTCTTTTTCAATAATATGCCTAGAACACTGCTTCCATAGGTCTGTGGCAACAATATGAGATACTGTATCTCTTATTGTGGCCAATAGCGACTCACTTATTTGAGGGGTCTGATTATGTTTTCTTACTTTTTTTTTAAAGCAGCCCAGACCAACTCAATCGGGTTAAAAATGCAGTAATAGGGAGGTAGACGTAATACTTCATGGCCATTTTGCTGAAGCAGATTGTCAACAACATACTCTTTTTCAAATTTTTGTCTTTTAATAAGATCCAATAATATGGCTTTGGTTGATTTTTGTGGTATTTCCATTCCCTTATCCTTCATAAAATCAATAATGTCTTGTTTTTTTATGCCTGTATTCGGAATTTTGTTTTTCTGTCGGGAATGGTATGGCGCATTGTCCATAATAATCACTGAATTTGGGGAAATGTTTGGTATTAACTGCTGCTCTATCCACTTTTCAAATAAGTCGGAGGTCATGTCCTCATGATAGTCGGTACTTGATTCTTTGATGTTTTTGGCAGATAACAGCAAGGCATTAGGTATAAATCCATTTTCACTGCCAGCATGGAGAATAATGATTCGTTTTCCACGGTTGCATGGTGCATTTAAAATGCACTTGTTGCTGTCGTCAACCCAGCCGTACTGCACAACATCATGGGTATCATACCACGTTTCGTCCAGGTAAATCAGATTTCTTTTCTGCTCTCTATAGATTTTAACTTTGTGCAAAAATTCTTGGCGCAATTCAACGATTCGGGACGACTCCATAATCACCATTCTTTTATCTAATTTTTTGTATTGAAAACCACACAGTTTTACAATACAGTGCAGTGAGTCTAAGCATTTGTAATTATAAAAATCTTCAGGATAATCTTTTAATTTATCCCCTATCATTTCCAACGTGGGCACCAAATTTTCTTTATAAAATCCGTATATTATACGACGAATATCTTCCTGAAAACCCACGTCTATTCTTTTTAATTTTTGCCCTATGCGCTTTCTGTGAAAGGAATGGTTGACTACATCTCCCCTTTTTATAACCCGATAAATGGTAAACCGACTGATTTTTGTCAGGATACAAATTCTGTTTAAAATTTGATTTTGCGAGGAATCTGGATTTTCGTTTTTCAGACAATCATACATATTTAGGATTACTCTTTGGGTCTGTTCCTCTAAATCTTTATGAAAGAATTCTGCCTGCACAGGTTCATCAACCATCTCCTCGTGGCTTGGAGCATTTTCCCAAGGTCTCCAAAGAGCCATATTTACGACACACAAGAACAATCAACACAACAATTAAATCAACAAGTAAACTGAGTATTCAAAAGTCAAAAATAC